TCATTGTTGTTTGGCGGGCCCGGGCTGGATTCGAACCCGCCACCTTAGGTGTATGTGGCTGGCGCCTTAGCCACTTGAGCCACAGGCACCGAGCCCATTAATACCTTTTAATGATTTTATTAAGGAACTTTCCTGTGCTGTCTTATATTGAATAAATACACCCAACATAATTTAATCATTTCTTAGATTTAAGAAAACCATTTTGAGTTTCATTTATACTGTGTATCTCTAATGTTCTTGTCATGTTACCTTTAAGTGTTCCTAAAATCTTCTTGAGTGTTTTTTTTGAGACAGAGCCTCAAGCTGTCACCCTGGGTAGAGTGCTCTGGCATCACAGCTCACAGCAACTTCCAACTCCTGGGCTCAAGCAATTCTGCCTGTGCCTCCCAAGTAGCTGGGACAAGTGCCCGTCACAATGCCCGGCTGTTTTTTGGTTGCAGCCGTCATTGTTGTTTGGCAGGCCTAGGCTGGATTTGAACCCGCCAGCTCGGGTGCATGTGGCTGTCATCTTAGCTGCTTGAGCCACAGGTGCCGAGCCAAGAGTGTTTTTTTTGGGAGGGCCGCACCTGCAGCTCAGTGACTAGGGTACTGGCCCTATATACCGAGGGTGGCAGGTTTGAACCTGGCCCCTAGCCAAACTGCAACAAAAAATAGCTGGGCATTGTGGCAGGCACCTGTCCCAGCTGCTCAGGAGGCTGAGGCAAGAGAATTGCCTAAGCCCAAGAAGAGCTGGAGGTTGCTGTGAACTGTGATGCCATGACACTCTACCGAGGGTGACAGAGTGAGAATCTGTCATTAAAAAAAAAGAGAGAGAGTTTTTGTTTCGTTTTGTTTTGTTTTGAGATAGAGTCTCACCTTGTTGCCCGTAGTAGAGTGCAGTGGCGTCACAGGTCACAGCAACCTCAAACCTTTGGGCATAAGCAATTCTCTTGTTTCAGCCTCCTAAGTAACTGGGACTACAGGCACCTTCCACAATGCCTGGCAATTTTTTTTTTTTTTTTTTTTAAGAGACAGAGTTTCACTTTATCACCCTTGGTAGAGTGCTGTAGCACACAGCAACCTCCAGCTCTTGGGCTTAGGTGATTCTCTTACCTCAGACTCCCAAGTAGCTGGGAATACAGGTGCCTGCCTTAATGCCTGGCTATTTTTTTGTTGCAGTTTGGCTGGGGCCAGGTTTGAACCCACCACCCTCAGTATATGGGGCCAGCGCCCTACTCACTGAGTCACAGGCACCACCCACAGCTATTTTTGTTTTGCAGTTGTCATTATTGTTTTAGCTGCCTGGGCTGCATTTAAACCTGCCAGCCTGGGTGTATGTGGCTGGCGCCATAACCTGTGCTACTGGTGCCAGCCACATACACCCAGAGGTACGGGCGCCACCCTTCTTGAGAGTGTTTAATCAGTTTAAAATAAAATGGCAAAGTCCAGTTTGGAAATAATTATTTTTTCCCTTCATTTCTTCAAATAATATTTTGAAGCAGAAAATCAATCTATTGCTCTCTTACTTGTCCATAGGTGGATATCATCTGTGGTGATCACTTGTTAGAACGGTATCAAACTCTGAGGGAAATTCGACGTGCAATAGGTGACGCAGCAATGCAGGTAGGTCTCGGATTTTGTCATGCCTGTGCCTGACAGGTAAGTTATTTAATGGAGAGAAAAGTGCCATGTTAGCACCTGGACTATAAATAATAATCATAGCTAATATTTTCTGAATGCTTACTGTGTGTCAGGACTGTTCTAGGTGGTTTACATAGATTAGCTTATTTACTACTCATTGTTATTCTGTGAGGCTAGGTAGTCTCTTAGCTCTCATTTTAAAGATAAGGAAACTGAATACAGCAAGGACATGTAACTTCTCACAGTTAGTGGGTGAGCCAGGCCTCGAACCCCAGGCAGTTCAGTTCGAGAGGCCTTGCTATTTTGTCCCTGTCTAGTACTGCAGTATAATTCTGAAGGTTTCTAGGTCAATGTATCCAGAAAGACATCTCTTTAAGAGAAATTTGCAGATATTCATTAGACTTTAGAGATTCACATAATCTTTCTTGCTCAATAGGTAAAAAGTCAAGGTAACTATTTTTGTGTTTTGATTAACCTCTAATGTGAGTGGTAATATAATTTGAAATCTCCCAGATGGGATAATAGAAAGCAAGGTAGGAGCTATAATTTTTTTTTTTAGACAGAGCCTCAAGCTGTTGTCCTGGGTAGAGTGCCATGGCATTACAGCTCACAGCAACCTCCAACTCCTGGGCTCAAGCGATTCTCCTCCCTCTGCCTCCCAAGTAGCTGGGACTACAGGCGCCTGCCACAACGCCCAGCTATTTTTTGGTTACAGCTATTATTGTTGTTTGGCGGGCCGGGCTGGATTTGAACCCACCAGCTCAGGTGTATGAGGCTGGCACTATAGCCACTTAAGCCACAGGCGCTGAGCCAGGATCTACAATTTTTAACAAAGAGAAAGCAAAATAGGACTGCATATTCTAATGTATTCCTGAATTTACAGTGGTAAATTATTTTAAGAGCTATATGTCTCTGAGGAGCTTATAAAGTACCAACAATGTGATGAGCTGTTGGCTTAAACAAATTTTGATTTGTTAGAAATAAAATTCTTTGTTTTGGCATAATGGCCAATGTTCATATGACTCAATTGATTAATACTTAAAGGAAGGTGTTGAATATGTTGAGAATTATTTTATCCTGGCACTCCAGAAGGCCTAGGCAGGTGGATTGCTTGAGGTCACGAGTTCAAGACCAGCCAGAGCAAAAAGTGAGACCCTGACTCTACTAAAAATAGAAAAACTGAGTCAATGGGTCAAGAGGATCACTTGAGCCTGAGAGTTAGAGGTTGCTGTGAGCTATGACACGACAGCACTCCAGTCAGGGCAATAGCTTGAGACTCTGTCTCAAAAAATAAAAAAAAGAATTATTTTCTTAGTGTGGATTATGCAATGCCTTGGAAAAAGCAGAAAGTACACACATGCATGCATAGTTAAGTGTGTTCATGCATACATATGATATATTTTAATTGGCATATAACGAAATGCATGGGTTTTGACAAATACCTATACCTGTTTAACTTAAACTCATTGAGATAACAGAACCACTACCATCATTCCCAGAGAGTTTTCTCATGCCACTTCTCAGTCAATCCCTCTTCCTAGCACTGAGGCAACCACTGTGTCTGATTTTTTTTTTTTTTTTTTTTCAGTTTTCAGCTGGGGCTGGGTTTGAACTTAACCACCTCCAGTATATGGGGCCGGCGCCCTACTCCTTGAGCCACAGGTGCCACCCAGATTTTTTTCTCATCATATATTAGTATATTTACAGAGTTGGCAGTTATCACCACAATCAATTTTAGGATGTTTTTATCACACCAAAAGAACCTCCATGTTCATTAGCACTCATTCCCCATTTATCCTTAACTCCCCAGTCTTTGACAACCTTTACTCTGCTTTCCATCTCTGTGGATTTATATACTCAGAACATTGTAAATGGAATAATATAATAGCTAGTCTTTTGTGACTACTTTTAGTTTCGTGAGGTTTTTTTGTTTGTTTGTTTGTTTTGAGACAGAGTCTCAAACTGTCCCCCTATGTAGAGTGCTGTGGCATCAAAACTCGCAGCAACCTCCAACTCCTGGGCTCAAGTGAGTCTCCTGCCTCTGCCTCCCAAGTAGCTGGGACCACAGGCGCCCGCCACAATGCCCGGCTATTTTTTGGTTGCAGCCCTCGTTGTTTGGCGGGCCCAGGCTGGATTTGAACCCGCCACCTTAGGTGTATGTGGCTGGCGCCTTAGCCGCTTGAGCCACAGGCGCCGAGCCTGTTTGTTTGTTTTTGAGACAATCTCACTTTCTTGCCCCAGTAGTGTGCTGTGGCATCACAGCTCACAGCAACTTCAAACTCTTGGGCTCAAGTGATCCTCTTGTCTCAGCCTCCTGAGTAGCTGGGACTACTGGTGCCTGTCACAACACCCCATTAAAGATGGGGTATTGCTCTTGCTCAACCTGGTCTCAAACACATGAGCCCAAGTGATCCACCTGCCTCTACCTCCCAGAGTGCTAAGATTACAGGCCTGAGCCACCATGCCTGGGCTACCTTCATGTTTTTAAGGTTCATCCATGATGTAATATATATCGGTATTTTGTTCTTTTTCATGGATGAATAACATTTCACCATATGGGTATAGTATATTTTATTTATCCCTTCATCAATTAATAGATATTTGGGTTATTTCAATTTTGAAGTTAAAATGAAGATTCTGTTATGAAGATTCATGTATAGGATTTTGTGTAGACATGTTTTTATTTCTCTTGGGTACCTAGGAATGGAATTGCTGGGTCATATGACAACTCTATGCTTAATTTTTGGAGGAACTGCTAGATTATATCCAAAGCAACTTTGCCATTTTATATCCTATTAGCAGTGTGTTAAGACTTCTACTTTCGGCTCGGCGCCTGTGGCTCAACCGGCTAAGGCGCCAGCCACATACAACTAAGATGGCGGGTTCAAATCCAGCCTGGACCCGCCAAAAACAATAATGACGGCTGCAACCAAAAAAAGCCGGCACTGTGGCAGGTGCCTGTGGTCCCAGCTACTTGGAAGGCTGAGGCAGGAGACTCGCTTGAGCCCAGGAGTTGGAGGTTGCTGTGATGCCATGGTAATCTACTCAGGGGGATAGCTTGAGGCTCTGTCTCAAAAAAAAAAAAAAAGACTTCTACTTTCTCTACTTCTTTGCAGAAACTTAGGTAATAAATTTATATAATATATATATAAATACAGAGAGTGCCCCAAAAATGTATACACATTTTAAGAAAGGAAAAAAACTATATTAAAATTGTAATAATATAATATACTGATAACAAAAGATGAATACAAGTCACATTTGACTTTTGCAATTGCAAGAGGTGCTCAAAGTGGTTGCGTCAGTGTGCAGACACTTTGATTACAGTTAACTTTGGGGGGGTAGGGGCAGAGTCTCAAGCTGTCGCCCTGGGTAGAGTGCCATGGCATCGCAGCTCATAGCAACCTCCAACTCCTGGGCTCAAGCCAGTCTCCTGCCTTCGCCTCCCAAGTAGCTGGGACTACAGGCACCCGCCATGACACCCAGCAATTTTTTGGTTGCAGCCATCATTGTTGTTTGGCGGGCCCAGGCTGGATTCGAACCCGCCAGCTCAAGTGTATGTGGCTGGCGCCTTAGCCGCTTGAGCCACAGGTGCTGAGCCTTGAGACAAGTTCTCATTCTGGCTCAGGATGGTCTTGAACCCATAAGCTCAGGCAATAATCCATCCACCTCAGCTTCCCAAGTGCTAGGATTATAGGCGTGAGCCATTGCACCCAACCTACACTTTGATTATAGTGAACTACTTGAGCAACATTGATAAAAGGATTTGTTGCTATGTGAGGCCTCCTGGATCTTCCCTTGTGCATATCAAACATCATACCATGCATCTCAAACTTAACCACAAATTCCTGCAATTGTTAGGTATATTGAATGTTCTGTTGCATGTTTACACCTCCATTGTTGTTGTACCTCCACAATGTTCTCAGATTTCAAGTACAACTTCAAAATGGTCTCTTGCTCCTTGAACAGCAAACTTGCTTATGTGCTTTGGCCGTTTTCTTTGATTATCCTGCTTGTCTCATGTTAACACTAACATTCATTTGATTAAAGCCAACTTGAGTGAATGTCATACTATTACACATTGCTACTGTAATTCAACTTCAAAAAGTAATACATAAATGACATCTCTTAAAATGTGTGTACGTTTTTTGGCACCCCCAGTCTACGTTAATATATGCCCTATACCAGCAATGTGAGCCAGCATGTCAGCAGCAACATGTATAAACTGGGGCAGCACCTGTATCCTATGCTGACTAGAGCATAACACCTACTGCTTCCTTCCATGTTCCAAATTTTGCACAAATTTCTTTATCAGCTAAATGGTTGGCAAACCCAAAAGAAAGGGAATTCTTGGAAAAGTAGTTCTGCTTTGGCTAAGTTGATATAGCAAAATGCAAAAAAATTAAAAGGACTCACAATGTAAGTGTTGCTGAACACAAGGAGCAACTAGAACACAAATACATTGGTAGTGGGAGTGTGAACTGGTTCAGTTATGTTGGAACTCTGATGGTAGTGTACAGGGTCAGACAGTTAAGTTTACGAACTCATCCTGGAAAAAGTGCTACATACCTCATTGCTGTTTATCATTATGGTTACCTTCAGAGTACTCCCGCTGAGAAGCTATGCACTGATGCCAGCACCTAGTCCACCCTTCCAAGCACTTTTTTCAGGATGAGTCTGAGGACTTAATTGTCACACCTCGAACTTGTCAAAAGCTTTGTGTGTATGCTCTATGTAATTATACTTATGGGTATATATTAGTCTCTTACCTACTATTTCCCTTTCCATGGTTTTAATTACCTGTAGTTAACTGTGGTCTGAAAATATTAAATGGAAAATTTCAGAAGTAAAGAGTTCATAAGTTTTACCTTTTTTTTTTTTTTTTTTTTTTTTTTGA